TACCTCAGGGGTGGTCCCATATAAATTTGGTCAAGATCTAATAATGGGATCCATGAGAAAATCATCACTTTTCATTTTTTTTTCAATTTTCAGCGAGTTTACCACGATGTTTGATTTCTGATTATTTTTTTGTTAGAAAGGGGTATACAATTCGTTATGATCTGATGATCTATGAGAAAATAAAAAATCTCAATTTTTAAGGGCATCTGCACGATTTTGAAGTCGGTTTTTTAAAATTACTTTTATAACGGACTCCAAAAATTTAAAATTTGATGATTATGGGTGAGATTACAGAACGTCTGCAACTTTGCAGATCTGCAAATATGGCGGACTTACAAATGCAAGTATTCCAAAAAATATCTGCAAATTCACAATATTTATTGTGGTTTATTACCCCCAACAACACTCAACCCAAATTTGGAATACGAAAACTTGATACTTGCATGTGTAAGGGGTCTATTCTGTAACAATTCCTTTATATTTAACGGCCTTTAAAAATATTGGCGACCTTTAAAAATATGTTCGTATTCGTTAATTTACTTCTGTCATTATTTAAACAGATTTCTTTAAGATAGTCCTCTAATGTATTTTAAAGATCCGTTTAAATAATGACAGAAGTAATTAAAGAAGTAAACATTTTTAAAGGCCGTTAAATGTAAAGGAATTGTTACAAAATAGACCCCTTTGTCAGTCATATTTGCAGATTTGCAAAGTTGCCGCCATATTTGCAGATCTGCAAAGTTGCAGACGTTCTGTAATCTCACCCTATATATTTTGGTTTTTACGCAAAAATTGTCTGCTAGGGCGTAAGACTTACTACAACCAAAGAAAAGAACTGATGAATTATAATAGGTTATCAGAAATCATATGGGGTAAAACAATTACAATGGGTTGTCTAGAAATAGGTCAAAAACGAATTCTTAGGAATTAACATAGTTAATATATTCCTTGATATGTTCAGGATAAAGACCTGAACCGAAAACTCCAAGTTGAATCAATTTTAAAGAAATTAAGAAAATTGCCAAGATACATGAGGCGAGATCCACAAACTAGAGGCTCATATACGGGGTGGGGGTGGAATGGGGGGTAATTAAAGCTAACTTTTTATAGGTACAAGAATATGGTTTTAAATATTACCACTACCCCACCCAGACTTAAACTCTGGATGCGCCACTACCACATACACACCAACATTGAAGTACTTCAACTTTTAGACAATCGGACCCAGTGAAATGAAGTGATGGTGTTAAACCCAGACAGCACAAATAGGTCCATTGGACGTCCATTCGATATGCAATTTTGGATGCCTGGACGTCCAAAATTAAATAAGTTTTTTCTGAACTTCCGACATCCAATGGACGTCCAGTGGAGTATACAAATGGCATACTTGTGACTATCCAGAAGACGTCCAATTATGAAGTATATTTGGACGTTGAATACTGGCCATTCAAAAAATTTCCATTCCTGGATTATATTCCATTGAAACCACATATCCCCATACTATTTTATATTATTAATAATTTATTTATTATTTTCACAACCCGCTATACACCATATTTTTTAAAATTAATTTAAAATTACTTGACTTGAGCAGGATTCAAACTCACGACACGTTCATTATCATTCTACGCTTTCAACCACTAGATGATCTCGACCAAAGAGCCACTTGAAATCTTTTTACTGATAGATTGAAATGCAACAGATTCAATTTTTAAAGACCAATTATACTAAAAGAAAACAAAGTGTATATAGATGGACGTCAAAATACTACTAAACTTAAAATTAAGTCCAAAAACAGACGTCCTCTTGGTATATTGATATGCAGCTGTTAAATTAATGATAACAGACGGACGTACACTGGATGTCCGAATACGGATATGGACGTTCTGACAAATGTATCTAAAGTTGACGTCCATTGGACTATGTGTGCTGCCTGGGAAGCAGAGTTAGTGCTATGACAATATCGAAATGTGCAAAATATGTTAATACCCAGACAGCACACCAAATCCTTTGGATATCTACTGGACATCCCAATATCCACTGAATGTCCAGTCCATGGTGGATATCTATTTTATATCCATGAGATATAATTTATAGACATGCAAATGTCCATAAATAATAGTAATTATATAGCAAATTATTAAAAAATTACGCTATTGTGGCTAATAGTGCCGTTCAGATATTTACAATTAATGTTTTTAAGGTGTGGACATCCACTAAATATATCAAAGTCTAGGCGCGAACGCAAACCATGGTGGATATCCACTAGATGTAATTTTTGATTTTGCTTACTAAGTATAGATGGCGATACCACTTTTGCTCGTTGAATATCTACTCATGCTCAACCCGCCGTAATTGAGTTCAATCGAAATTGGTATCCCAATCAGACTCCATTAGAGACTGGAGTCGAGAATTATCCATTTATTGCTGAAGAGTCCTAATAAGGACGACTTTCTCCTTAGTGGGCAAAATCAAAGGCAGAGTGTTGAAAATATTTTGAGTGTTGAAAATATTTTTTATCTCTGATTTTCTTTCGACGTTATTCAATAATCATTGGTTACTTATGAACCTCTACTAAAGATACCCATAAAATATTTTGCTGAATATCCGAATATCTTCTATATCCTGGGATATAGACGGACATTTGGATATCCATATTAGATCCACTGGATATATTGGATATCCACAAAATATATTCTGTGGATATCTCTGGGATTTCTTGTATTGTCTGGAAGATACCCATTAGATATTTTGCTGGATATCCATAGGATATCTTCTATATTCTGGATATAGACGGACATTTGGATATCCATATAAGATCCACGGGATAATTCTGATATCATGCGTGGATATATTGGATATCCACAAAAGATATTCTGTGGATATCTCTGGGATTTGGTATGTTGTCTGGGTAATTATAGTCTAGAGAAGAAAGGAGTGCAGTAATTTAATTTGCAGAACGTAGTACAGATTTATACCTCATCCTTCAAATGCTTCAATGCCTAAAAAGTTTTCGATCTAGTGAATTGTTAATAAAGAAAAGAAATTTATTACAATGTATTATAGAAAAATAAAATAGTGTAACTAATTGAAAAAACTCAAATCTTGGTAGATGGGGTCCCGTAATTCGGTAGATGAATTCCTAAATCGGTATATCGGTAGAATGATTCTAAAATTGGTAGATTTACCGAAAAATCGGTAGGGTTGGCAACACTGACCACGGGAAGGGAACAGAGGTGGTAAGGACTGGCACAAGCAGTTGTTATTTTGGAACTTTCTAAATACTGTTGAGGGTATTTAGGATCGATTCGGAATCGGCTCTTAGACATTAAAATACGTGGCCACAGAGAGGGAAAAAGGGAGTACTACCTATGATCATTGAAAACAAGGCGTGGAATATAATTCTATTATAACATAAATACAACAGATCCGGGGGTAATATTCTCGAGTCACGAATATAGATTCGCATGCGAGATTTATGATTTGTCCCACTTGGTTTTTGTTCAACACATTGAAAAACACGTATGCGAATGTCGGTATTCGTGATTCGAGAATACTACCCCAGTGCTGTAAAAGTGAAACAGCAGAAAATGGGAGCTATAATTGAACGTTTACGTTATCCGTAATGTAAATGTTAGACCGAGTTTTAACAGTAACGAGGCAAGTTCGCATGATGGAAAACTGTTAAATTAAAACATAATAAGCGGAAAATAACAGTAATGTGTTGGAAAAAGTTTTCCATCATACGAACTTGCCTCGTTAATGTTAAAACTCGGCCTAACATGTACGTTACGAATAACGTAAACGTTCAATCATCATAGTACCCAATACAAGCTTTTGGTAGGTAGAGAGGGGGTAAATGTCAAACCACGTCGGACGGCTACGAGAATTTCGCAGTAATGTTTACCTGCCAGTGTCGTCTATAAGAATAAGTAATTTTAAATTGTTATCGGCGGAACCGGACAATCGCATGTATTTATGGACTATAAATAATTATTAAACATGTATTATAATATTCAAGTCATAATTTTACAAAATTTCAACAGTTCAACAGCTATTCACAATTTATTAAACAATATACTCGAAATTGTTATTAACATCTATAAAATAATTTTGCACGCCAATGTATCGCGTCCACTTCGGTGAGATCCGCCGCAAACCTGTCAATTTATGTGTATAAAGTGGGAGAACTTGCAAAAGCCTTCTGCTATATTATATTGATCATAATCTGATAACATTGCATTAGGGTAATGGGGTACAGAACCGTCGATTCCATTCTTAAATACAGTGGACAAATTAATTTTTCAAGAACACGTCCCGAGGTTATAACAACCTCCTAGGTGATCGAGTGTAATTCTTTTCGAAAGAACCAAAATAAGCTTGCATCGGTTTCCTTTATATATTTGTATATCTAGATCTAGTGAACTTGTCAATTTTTGGTGCAGGCCTGCAATTTATGGTTCTAAATAGAATTCCACTACTACTTTCACATAACAAATAAACACGGAAAAAGAAACGCCATTTTCTAATTGTCAAAGGTTGTACGCAGTTAAATTTTTTGTGATAGAGCGATTGTTCCTTTGTAATCTGTTAACATACAAATAGAGTAAGTTATTTCTTTTTCTTAAGAAGACTTTTTTTTCGAATTGTGACATTATTGTTTCTTGAAAAACGTTGCTTTCTGGTTGAGATCAGCTGATAAGATTCTTTTGCTATTGTCATTGTTTAGTTAATGTGACATTATACGGGTATTTTTATCTATTTTAATAAAATGTACGCCCCCCTAGTCTTGAAAAGGTTCATACACGTACTTATATCTAATGAAAATAAATGAGTATTTTTGTTGTTTTAAAATAAAAGGTCGATAACGTTCATCTCATAGATTGGATGACATCACAATCATATTATTGAAACCTTATTGTAAATTATTGACTCACCATTTTACCAGTCATTCTTTTATCGGTTTTGTTATTCTGCTTTTGTTGCTTTAATAGGTAAATATGGCCAGTCGAAAGAAGACTTTGCTCAAAGTCATCATTTTGGGAGACTCTAGTGTTGGAAAGACTTCTTTAATGAATCAATATGTAAACAGGAAGTTTTCCAACCAATACAAAGCAACCATTGGGGCAGATTTCCTCACTAAAGAACTCACAGTAGATGATAGAACAGTTACCATGCAAATTTGGGATACGGCAGGTCAAGAAAGGTTTCAGTCTTTAGGAGTAGCCTTTTACAGGGGAGCTGATTGTTGTGTCTTAGGTAAGTTGGAAATAAACACTTTAATCCACAGTTTTTGTATTGTCTAGGTGAGAATTTATGATATCTAATATTTAATAATAATATGAATGTTGAATTTGAGCCCTTTTCAAGTTTAAATAGTTACACATGTGTCTTATCACTTAAAATTAAATTTTACTTTAAAAACAAATAACTGGTTTCCTGTCTTAATAAAACATATTTTTAAAACTTGAAATGATTCTATTAAAAATAATTTAATATATGAAATTGTAAGGCTGTATGGTCACTGTTCACCTATGTAATACGTCAAGATGGAATTGTTTTTAAACCCGTTTGCTGACAGTTTGTTCCAATCTCATAATCTGAATCAAAAATTAATTTTTATCATTAATTGTACCAACATGTATATAATACATAAGTATTTAAATTTTTAAGTATATTTTTTCGTAGGTACTTCCCACAGTTTTTATTTATAACTTAGCTTTTATGACTGTAGATAATTATGATAATAATTATAATTTCAAACTTGCCTTTCTTGATAAATTTTTTTCTTTTATTTTGTTTGATTTTGATTATTTACATTTTTCAATAGTCTTAAGTCCTTGTTCATTGCATTGTGAGGCGAAAAACATTTGAAAATAGTTATACTTGCTTTGTCTCAATTATTATTGTTTATTGCAACATTAAAAAAAGTCATTTAAACCTTTCTTTTAATAAAAAATTATAAGGTGTATAAAAATATTTATATTTTATAATAATTGACTGTATTATGATTTTGTAACAATAGTTTATTAAAAAAAAATTCTTTGAAATTTTCTACCTTGTTTCTAGGCAACTCAAAATTTAATGTTTAATTCCCATAAAAATAGGATATACCAAAATAAAATGTATTGTCAAAACATTATTGATAACACTGATAGCAGAGTCTGAGTAATAGCTTGTTGATATTGATAAATAAATCAACACTCATAAATTTAGAAATATTAATATTAATAGGGCAGTAACGTCCAGTAAAAAAAAAATAGAGGCTAAAGGATACAAATTTGGTTTTGATAAGACTAAAATTCAACAAACTTGGTTGAAAAAAAGTTTTGGATGAGCTTAAGCAACGTTCAGATAGTAAATAAATATTGGGTGTTCATACAGTATATTTGGAAGTGTTATTTTTATAATTATTTTAGCCATAATGTTTTAAAAACCTACACCCTCTCTATTTTTTGAACAATGATGGTGAAATAACAGAGCTGTGATTAATTTTAAAAATAATAGATAATTCTGACACATTATTGTTATCAAAATATTTAATATTCGGTGTGAATAAATTATGTAGAGTGTGTCACAAAAAGTTTTTCTTTGCAAAACATTTTTAATTAAAAGTTCTGGAAAACTTTGAAAAAATCAAATATTTCCAAATCACAAGCATTGGTTGGATTATTTTATTGAATAAAGTAAATGAAAATCACTTAAAAACTTAACCAATATTATTGCTTTGTGCCATAAGGACCCTTTCTTATCCCCTGTTAATTAAAATAAATGTGTAAAATTTTAATCCAGATATTTTATAACATAAAAATTGCCACTCTTTCATATTCACCACGTGACAGCAACCGTCTAATTTTTTTAAGTAGCAAGTTGTGTCATATTACACTTCACTGAAAATTTAATGTTATGGGGAATTCAGCAATATAACTGTTGATTGCATTACATTTAATTTCAGTGCCCTCTAGTGGGACAAAAAAAATTATATGTATTTTCCGTCATTTCTTAAGACCAGTGTTATTGTTCCCATACATAAAGGCGGCAGTAACTAAGATCCTTCGAACTTCAGGCCTATATCTCTCATTCCTACAGTGGCCAAAATTATTGAAAAAGTCTAGAAACTCACAAATTGCTGGAAACACAACAGTTTGGTTTTCAAAGGAACAAAAGTACTTCGATATTTTCTTATATTGAACATGCTTATTCTAGAATTAATGTTGACGATTCTGTAGCGGCGATATTCTGTGATTTAACTAAGGCGTTCGATTGCGTCAATCATACAGTACTGTTGGATAAACTTCGAGTTTACGGGATTAAAAACGGAGCGCTGAGTTGGGTAAAATCTTATCTTTCAGAACGTAAGCAAATGGTAAGACCGTCTCAGGATTCTCAAGTTTTAGATATTAGTTGGGGTGTCCCTCAGGGTTCTGTGTTAGGTCCCATTTTATTTCTCCTTTATGTGAATGACTTAGCTCAACTTGAAATTGCAGGTACTTTCACTCTATTTGCAGATGATACTACGATTTTATGGCACAGCAATGACACTTCGATTTTATGGCACAGCAATGACACTTCTGTCTTATACCATATCCTGTGACACAATAAAATTTCTGGGAATTAATTTAGATAATAATTTGAAATTTAGAAACCATATAGAATTGCTAAACAGAAAACTTTCTTCTGGATGTTTTGCAGTCAGAACTGTGGCAAAAGAACTAGGTTTTAAGGCAGCAAAAAGTGTGTATTACGCCCTAGTTGAGTCCCATTTGAGATATGGAATTGCATTTTGGGGAGGTTGCAGCCGCGAATTATTCAATACTGTTTTTTGTCTGCAAAAGAGAGCAATACGATTTTTATGTGGAATGAACAAGCTTGAGTCATGTCAGCCACATTTTATTAGACATGAAATTTTAACATTAACATTGTTGTTCATTCTTGAAACCACTTGTATTATACATAACAATAAATCGAACTATGCCAATACTAACGCTCGGCTAACGCGACAAGTTGACAACCTGCGGTTGCCCATACCCAAATCTGAACTGGTAAGGGGCTCTTTCATTTATAATGGGATTAAAATGTACAATAAGTTGCCAAATGATATTAAATCGACGGAAACGGTCACAACATTTAAAATACTGCTTAGAGATGACAAAAGCATATTATGCTTTGACGGAATTTTACAATGACTCTTAAATCGTTGTGACTGTTTGAACGTACATGTTTTTGTATTTATATAATTTTATCGATGTTGTATTACGTATTTGTAATTAACCTCTAATTTTATATTTAACGTTTTTATACAATTTTTAAATTTTTATGCATGTAATTGTTAGTACTACATAATAATTATATTTATAAGTGTTTGTCTATAAGTTCTTGTAGCTTTGACAATAAACATATATTGATTGATTGTACAGTCTGACACTTAATTGAATCAGCGAGCCATTTTGTTTAAAATTTGTTTCTTCATTGATTGAGCTTAAAAACTGCACTAGATACCTATCCGTTAACGTGATATAGTTGATTATACCCGTGAAATTAAGCAAAAAACTGTACATATTCGTGATTCGTTAAAAGGTTTTTATTGTTTTTAGAACTCACCGATTTAATTTTAAAGCTAATTTTATTAATAATAATACTCTCCCTAATTCGTCCCCTTATGAGTGAATTTCAATCCAAGCTGACTAAGGGATTTGTGTATGGGAAGGGACATTATTTGCCGTGGCGCTCCGGGCGACTTAAAGATGATTAATGGTGCCATCTGACTTACAGGTGAGGAAAACCCGACTCTGGGATCTTTAAATGTTATCCCATCAATAAAATAATAAATTTGAAGATGTATTCATAAAAATATAATTGTAAAAATGTCTTGACATGTATATAATTGTAAAAATCAAAATGTCATAAGATTTTTGTTTATCTTCAATATCTCTCTTCTGGCAACCAGGGAGCGACGGTGAAGTGAGCTTAATATTTATCCTTCCATGACTGCCACAAAGATAGGAGGTTATAAATTTGCGGAAGGTATGAGTAAGGTGAAAGGTAGTCATTAGTGCAACAGTAGGCACTACAATACTTCCCCCCTTTTTGAAATATGATTTACGTTAAACGTCATATTTTAAATATATATAATTTTATTGAACGCAAATTTGATTTTTTATAGAGCCCCTTACCAGTTCAGATTTGGGTATGGGCAACCGCAGGTTGTCAACTTGTCGCGTTAGCCGAGCGTTACTATTGGCATAGTTCGATTTATTTTTATGTATAATACAAGTGGTTTCAAGAATGAACAACGATGTTAATGTTAAAATTTCATGTCTAATAAAATGTGGCTGACATGACTCAAGCTTGTTCATTCCACATAAAAATCGTATTGCTCTCTTTTGCAGACAAAAAACAGTATTGAATAATTCGCGGCTGCAACCTCCCCAAAATGCATTTCCATATCTCAAATGGGACTCAACTAGGGCGTAATACACACTTTTTGCTGCCTTAAAACCTAGTTCTTTTGCCACAGTTCTGACTGCAAAACATCCAGAAGAAAGTTTTCTGTTTAGCAATTCTATATGGTTTCTAAATTTCAAATTATTATCTAAATTAATTCCCAGAAATTTTATTGTGTCAGTACATTCAATAATATGACTTCCCAACTGAATATTTGGTAGGGAACATTTAAGGGTTAGCATTTTAGTTTTTCCCATATTAAGACGCAAATAGTTGGCATCGCACCATGCTTTGATTTTCTTAATGTCACAGGATATGGTGTTGTATAGGACAGAAGTGTCATTGCTGTGCCATAAAATCGTAGTATCATCTGCAAATAGAGTGAAAGTACCTGCAATTTCAAGTTCAGCTAAGTCATTCACATAAAGGAGAAATAAAATGGGACCTAACACAGAACCCTGAGGGACACCCCAACTAATATCTAAAACTTGAGAATCCTGAGACGCTCTTACCATTTGCTTACGTTCTGAAAGATAAGATTTAACCCAACTCAGCGCTCCGTTTTTGATCCCGTAAACTCGAAGTTTATCCAACAGTACTGTATGATTGACGCAATCGAACGCCTTAGTTAAATCACAGGATATCGCCGCTACAGAATCGTCAACATTAATTCTAGAATAAGCATGTTCTAGATAAGAAAATATCGCATCAGAAGTACTTTTGTTCCTTTGAAAACCAAACTGTTGTGTTTCCAGCAATTTGTGAGTTTCTAGATAATGAATCAAACGTTTTTTTACAACTTTTTCAATAATTTT